ATAACCTGATATAGGTTCTAATAATTGTTTTGGTTCATCACTGATACCGAATAAATAACGTTGATTAATAGTGTGCTTCCGACTTGTATCCATGTTTTCATTATGACTTCAACATATCTTATGTTTTTCTTTACATGAGAAATAATGCGGATACTATTTTTTTGACTCTTATATTTATAGAAACTAGTCATCCGTGTCCTATACAGGTATGCAATAGAAATTATTCCCATGACGCTATTTAAAAAATATAGAAAACGATAGATGTAAAAATACATATCGACCACCGTAGGCAATAATGCTCATAGGCATGTTTGCATTAGTTATGTTTTTTTCGTTTTTCACACGTTTCGATGAATCACTCTTACATATCTCTATGACGGAAAATATAAAAATAGGACATGACATCAGTGTGAGTGATGGAGTATGTTTTTTTAAATTAACATATTGTAGGTAGCAATACTGCTAGTTAAATCAATATTTATAGGAATAAAAGCGTTTCAAAAGTTTTAAACTAGCAACATGCTAATGAAAAGAAAATAAGTACAATCAGAAAAGACGGAATTTTCTATATATGTTTGTATAGTAAGTATGTCTTTCCTGTAGTTTTTTTGCAACTTGCACAAATTTTTGTCACCATTTCGTTCGAGTAATGGGAATGTGGGGAGATTGAATGATCGATCAAGTTTGATTAGCGAATAAATATTTCGCTTTTTTTATAGTGTCTTAATATATTTGTGGATTTCTGAAATTAGTATAAATTTTCGTTTTGATTGTTTATTGATAATGGGGACATGCAGACATTAAATGATTCGTGAATTTTCAAGTCATTGGCGAAAAAAAGGTTTCCATCCACAGTTCTTAGATATATAATTAAATATTAAAAACGAGAACTCGATAGCGATATTTCATGTTTTTAAAACGATTGAACAGAACATGTGACGAGTAGGAGCAACGTGATGGAAGTTTTTAAAATAAAAGATGTCTCATGTCTCGCACATGTGTTATTATTATAATATGAGAGCATAATAAATAATTGTAAGTACTAATAAAATTGAAACTTTATTTTTTTCTTCAAATCGTGCAATTGAGAATATATGGTACATACTAGTTCTTATAGAAAAATTTAGGATTTAGTGAGTGTTATTGAATCATTTAAATTCAATCATTGAAATACATTAATATTTTCAAAATGATGCAATAAATAATTCTAAATCCAGTAGTAATCCTATACCCTAATAAAAATACAACTTAAGTACAACAATAAACATTAATGACTGTATGGCTCATCCACACAAAATAATACAGCATTCAGAAAACCGAAATAGACACAATAAAAATTGTTTGTTTTTTATTAATAGAATAGAAAAAAAACACATTTTGTTGTAGTTGTGTTTATTCTACGTCTGTTTTATATGCTCTTATCGAAATGAATTATTTCTAAAACTATGGACTTGCAAAGGAACAGTGCGAAGTAATTCGATGTCTTTAGTTTTCAATATTTTTCTCATAAGTTAAAGACGCATAGATAAGGAAAATGTTAAAAGGATATGAGCAGATGTTATAATTTGACGGAAATACACGACTAGCTTGTATATTGAAAATCCAAGTCTTAGTTTTTCGGACATTTTATCATTTAGATTTAGACTTTCGAACAAATGTGCATTTTGTTATGGGATTTTGTATGACATATGAATATTTTGAAAAATTCACGATTGCATGATAGGAATAGAAAAGTGCGATTTTTTTATAATTTATGTAAGTTAAAACGTTGATATGAGAAAAAGTTTAGATAATAATTTGAAAATATTATTTTAGTTGAAGAAAAGGAGAATCCTGTCGATAAATCGCAATAAAAGTTCTATCTTTTAATTAAAACAAAACTTTGAAAATTGTTTTTTAAACTATGGTTTCGTATTTATGATTTTGGTTAGAAGAAAAATTACTGCAATTTGTTGATGGCTCCAGTTTTCGTTTAGTACTACTTAATTGTCTATAAAAATGTGGTGAAATATATATAGAGTGTGAACTTTGAATCAAAAAAGCTTTTGATTAAGGTACAGTTGAAGTAATATGCAAAAAGGTGTACGGAGTATAACGTATGATATTATTTTTTTTCTATAAATAATAATTAATCAACGTTAGATAAGATAAAGTTAAATGCATATACTAATACGTCTTGAAAACAATCTACGTTTTACGATAAATTATTATTATCCTTTGGATAGCAGATGGGTTTTGTGAAAGAGAACTAATTATTTAGAAGAGATTTTAACTAGTTGATTATTTGTTTTTTTTTTTTGTATTATTGATAAACTAACACTCATTATATATCAGTAAGGTTCATCGATGAAGGGCTAGCTAAAAAAAAGGTTTTAACTAAAGTCAAAGCGAATTTCCAAAGAATTTTTATTGTATTTTTTAATGGTAATTGCATTTTTATTGCGAGTATAACGTAAATAGATGAAGGTGTGTTCGTTAAAAGCAGTCACTGACCAACCTCCATGTTTCAAACTCGTATTTTACTTTTAATGTCTTTTCCTATTTTTTTTTTTTTTCGTATGTGAATATGCTTTGCATCTCACTACGCTCGTGTCCGTTCGATATTTGATTCGAACCTTATAATGACAATTAAATAGTGTAGTCAAACTGAAAAAAATCTCGTGACATTCATTATAACAATTATATCTGACAAACTCTATAAATTTCAGTCAGTTAAAAATAGAAATAAAAGTATAAGTTTTATTAAAACCATTATGAGTAAATCAGACTTAAGATTGTAGCCTATTTATATAATTTATATTGAAAAACAAACGAAATTTTATGTAACAGTTTTTTGAATTTCGAGTTTATATTGGAAAGTGAGAAGACATGCTTCAAAACAGCTTTGATTTCAATGTTCTGGAGTTTTACGTGCTGGACGTTTTCATCAACAATATATGATGAGATAAAGTGAACAATTATAATTTATTAGTTGATGAAACAGGAAAATGAATTCATTGTGTACAAACAAACGATCATATCCACAGCATCGAGAATTAATTTCAGGTAATTTTGTTGAGTTCGAAAACGCAAGATGCATATATAAAATAAGCTATTCTTTGAGTTTGTAGAGCTTTTCACGCTGCATCTGGTGGTATATTTTATTTTCTTAATACAATGTATTAAGTGGTTGAAAATTTAAATGTGATCATTTAATCTACCTCATCCGTTAGTATTAGTAGTCACAGTAATCGTATCAAAAATTCTCTTTATTCTACCTTCTTCATTATCTCATCTATTTGTCTTTCAGTTGTCTTTTCTTAGAAATAGACATTGAATTATTAGTTGCTTTTTGCTTCGATCTTTTATTAAAATTTGCTTCTATAATTTTTTTATTGATTTATTATGCGATGTACTTTCAGTATATATATTTTAAAAATAATATAACACACTATGATCATCAAATTGTAAGTCAGTTTGTGTTAAGCAATGGTTTATATTTATACATGAATCACTCTTTTTTTTCTTTGACAATTAGATCTACATCATAAAAACTTTTTATAACATTTTATACTATAGAAATCTCAGCAATTACTAATGTAATTGATGCACACATCACTATACTGTTATGTTGCAATTATATGTCATTGTTAAAAAAAAATTTACTTCATATATTCTCGTATGTAATAATTTTTGAAGTTTTTTTTTCTTTTATCATAGTATATATATCTCTTCCTTTTTCTATTATTATTATTCTAATTTTTTTCTTATCATTTTTGTTGTTTGTCTGGCATATATTTTTATATATTGGATCTAGCTTATGAACTATTGAATTCAATGTATATATAGGTTGCATATTTGTAAATAATCTGATTACATCGAAAGAAACCATGATTTTATTCGTATGTTTAGATAAATTGATCTTTTTCACAAAATCATGAGTCTTTCACGACGGATAGACTATTTCCTAGATGAGATAATCTACTAGTCAACATTTTACTTAAAACATATCCAAAAATTTGTGTACCTGACATAACTGAACGAAGTGGATAATTTTCTTTGTGCAACTATGGCAACCCATAAACCCTGACAGATCTCGAAGCGGTTGATCTTGCCAAAAATTATTCATTTTCAATAGTGAAATTTTGTTTTTTTTTAGTTGGGTCATGGTTAATAGTCCTAAATGTTAATGAATCATTTTTTTTATTTGACCTCCATATTTTCAATATATGCTGAACCGTACATTTTTATTAAACCTCTGCCTTGGTCTGATTTATTTTATTATTATGGACTGATATTTATCAAGAAAATTAGCAGTTTGTAATGATTATTTATGTCTCGCTCTCAATATTTTGAATTCAATCTGTGCTTGATTTTTAAGCCTATTTGTAGTTGATCTTATTTGACAACAGCAGCATCGTATTCAGCAAGTGTAAGTTGATGAACTACATTTTCATTTAACTACTTTTGTTGATAATGACGATAACTTGTTTCTATGTTTAAAAACCGAAGATAAAAATATTACATACTAATGCTGCTTGATCAAAAAGTTCAAATGAACAAATACAATCGAAGACCATTTACAAGTGCATCAATTTCATTAATACTTAATTTTCTGGTAGATAGATGTGTTTTTCGATTATTATCTGATGTCGATGTTGATATTTATTTTGAATTATTAAGTTAAAGTCTTTCAAGTTTTGATTCATATGTATACTTAATAATTATCGTTCGATTAGATAAAATTCGTTGAATTATTGTTTAAATTCGTATATAAATGAGATGCGGAACATACTGTTTCAATGTATTATCAAATGAAACTAATTATTTGAATATTTGATTGAATCGTTATTTTTTTAAAGTTCAACTCGTATGAAGAACATTCATTGAACATTGCCTTATTAATTTTAAAACATTTACAGATGGATTTACTAGACGAATTTTGGGTGAAGTTTGGCACCAATACTTCTCGCTTACATGTTTGAATAAAAATTAAATCATGTTTGATCGAATTTATTTGAACTTGTGTTTTTACGCATTCATCGAAATATTTCATTATTGGAGTCTCATAATACCATCATAAATAATCATAAACATAAGGAAATACTTATTGGCACAAATTGAATAAACATATATATATATAGCAGTGACCTTATGAATTCTGTGCAAGATTCTTTCATGAAACTTGTAGGTAATAACGCTCAGCTATAGACAAAGCTTATGTACAAGTTTCATCTCGATTCACTGAACTATTGCTAAGTTACGATCTTCAAAGGCCAGTATATAGTTTTTGCCTACCTGAATGGTCATAAAAAAAATGACTACAATGCTAAGGAGATCTAACGAACTTCGATGAAATTAATACGGTAGACAATTGGAACAAACCAATCAATAACGAACAATGGGTCAATTCAAAAAGTTCTTTTTCATAATCATGTAGTTAAAAGTGCAAATAGAAGCGATCCATTAGCATGCGTTATAATTCTTGTTTCCTTTTAAACAATCAAGGCAAGTTTGTGTCTCAGATCTAAATTCTTAGTGGAGTATGTAGATGAACATTTTCAAATCTCCGGTATCTGTGATAGCCGAGATCCATGAGAAGGTAGACTTTTGTTCACTAGTGTAATTTTGAGTATAATAGATAGAAAAGAAATCGAGGGTGACGCCTATAGTGAAATTTACTTTATAGAGATGATACTCAACGGATGGAAAAAGCTGAACACCTATTAAGATTAACAAACTAAAACGTTTATAATCAATTACAACACCAAACTATTTTTTCAAATGGTAGTTCAAGAAGAGCATGTTTTGATATTTTTTTTTTGTTGTAAATGAATAATATGTAAATTAGATGCTGGATTCAATTGAGATTTAACTTCAAGAAATGTTCTTGGTAATAATAAAATTTCATCTTTAGTAGTAGAATGAAAATGAGAACGAATTGTTCGACCATTAATTGTTTCAATTGAAAAGAGAGTTCTTGTTTCAATATTTCCCAAATACAAATCAGATTCAAGAACTCTTAATGATGTTGTACATGATGAAAATGCCCACCACGTTACTTCTTCTCCTGGTGGATCATCGTTACTAAGATCTAGACGTAAACCACGCCAAACTGTTTGACGAGGAGCTGCTGATATTTTAGCTAATGCTGTAAGAAATAACTTTAAATATCAAAACCATGGACGAAGTTTTTTTCGATCTACTTGTTTGAGAGTTCGATTAAGATATACATAGAGACTTTCCCTTAGTTCGCTAGAATCAGAATCCCATTCCATTGTATATAGACGAATAATAGCTGATTCATCTTGTGTAAGATCATCTGGAGGATTTTTTGAATTTTGTTGAGCAATGCAAATATGAACTGGTAAACGTGAAACAATATTAAGTAGTGGTTCATGATCATAGCTGGATATTAATTGTAATAATTGTTTTGGTTCATCCCTGATACTAGATATATAACATAGATTAATACAGGGTGCTCCAAAAGTCCATTTCTAGAAGTTGTTTCGTTCTATTTCACGATTAACTAGACTTCATTGAATAACTTTTTTTTACAATAGATAAATAAACAAAGTTTTTATTTCTACGAATAAATTTCCAAAACATTATTAAAAGCTGAGATCTTTAATTAGGTCGAGTTGTTGAGTGATTCGAATCTATAAATTGTTCAATACTTAAACGATCTTTTCACAAAATCGTATCTTAGTATGTTGAGACAAAACGAAATGAATGGTATTAAGTCGAAGTCCAAGCAATTAAAATACATACCATTCATGAGCATTCTTGAAGAAAGAACATAGGGTAAGTTTTTCTATTTCAGCTTAAAGTTGTAGCTGCCAACAATGCCTATGAAACTTGTGTGTACAACTAAATACTCTTTGTATTTATCTATTATTCAAATAAACGTTATTCAATGAAGTCCAGTCAATAGTGAAATAAGACGCAAAACACTTTCCAAAAGAAACCTTTGGAACGTCCGATCTATTTCAATTAATTGATGCCTGTAGGTTGATGATCACAAGTATTATCTTATTATTTGTTCTGATAAATCAAAAAGAAACAAAAACACGTTGTATTTGTACTGGTATACGCACACTTGCCCGCAGAACACTTGCCCGCCGGACAGAAGCCAGCGGGACAGTTGCTCATAGGACACTTGCCCGCGGAGGACACATGCCCGCAGCGTACACTTGCCCGCGGGACAGTTGCCTGCATGACACTTACCCGCAAAATAAATGCGCACTACTATTCTTCGAAACAAAGGGGATTAATTTCATTGCTTTCAAAATCTTATTCATTTTATCAACTCAGTTATATATACATCTTATAAGTAGTAGAATGCAGAAGTGGAAACCTACAACAATATGGGTCATTAACAAACGACCTATCAAGTTCAAGAAAAATAAGTTTGGCCGACTTGACCATGATGTTAATGGCTAGTGCTACTATTTTTCCAAATTTGTTGTCGACTATTCATTCAAAATATTCAAAACTGTTATTTGTTGGTGTTGTTTCACCAAATATTTCAGTCGTCTAATCCCG